AGAGGGATTCATATATGTGGAAGACTTAGAATAAGAACGACATCATCTTTCTTAGAAACTTAAGCTTAATTTAAAAAGGTAAATTATGGGTTACACAGTTAATGCTTAATGTGGACTTCAAAGAAATATTTTTAATGTGCAACTCTCTCTAAATACAAACAGAAAAAAGCAGGGTTGTTCTAGTGGAAAGGTTTAGGGCAGATGGGTTGGGCCCCCCCCTTATCCCACAGAATCGACAGGCAGGGAGGGGAAGATAAGAGCCCTTGCAAAGCACGGTGTCTTTCTAGAAGGGTGGGGTGTGTGAAGGGAAACCTTCTGGCCCTGCAGATCTTTGAAAGAGTAGATAGGTCTTGAGGCTAAGCCACATTTGGGGAGAGGGGCCATATAGATAAGTTCTGCTCTTTAACAGAGTTAGAAGAATAGAGGGTACACGGGGATGGAAAGGTAGAGAAGAAAGCTGGAACTGGCAAGGATGGTTACAAGCGGCCAGCACACCAGCAAACAGGTCTTGCTAAATTCAGCTGAGTTGTTACTACAGTAGTTTCTGCTCCCTGGTTACCACCCACATTTTCAGTACAGTGTGTTACATTCACAAAAGCCTAGTAAGGCAAGATGTTTGTGAAGATCACCGGAAGGGCTTGCATGTTTATGGTCTGGGTGGATGCGACGTGGAGAGGAACAGCATGTGTGGGGCTAAAAGATGGCCAATACACGGGATTGATCTGATTGTTAGGACAAGTAGTGGAGTGTCAAGTGCCTAGAGCAGCGTCCTGCACATGGTAGAGCTGATATGTGATTGTTCACATAAATAAATAAATAAATAAATAAATAAATAAATAAATAAAGTCTGTAACTAAGCCCCCATGGTGAGCTCAGCTAACCTGGCCAAGCAGAGGAACAGAATCTCTGAAGTCAGTAGCAAAGGGTCGCGGCAGCGTCCTCCAGAGTTCTACGACCAGATTCATTTATTATGCTGACTCAGAGGCCTAAGACTATAATCTCATTAATGATAAATACTAAGAGTATTTTCATCTTTCAATCCGGACAATCTAGTATAAATACTTGGAATATAGTAGAAATCCAGTAAGAAATTCCTCAATGGAGAAGTAAATGGATAGATGTCTTCTGAAAATCCGTATATTAATTTTTTAAAAATTTTAAATTGACGTATACCTGACATAGTTAAAAATTTTGGATCATTTGAAAAGACAGCATTATTTTAATTATAGCATCACTAGGCTATTTGTTTAAGATTTTATTTATTTTGGGGGCACCTGGATGGTTCAGTCGTTAAGTTTCTGCCTTCAGCTCAGGTCATCATCCCAGGGTCCTGGAATGGAGCCCCGCATCAGGCTCCCTGCTCAGGAAGAAGTCTGCTTTTCCCTCTACCCCTCCCCTCTGCTCGTGCATGCATGCACTCATGCTCTCTCTCTCTCTCCTGCAAAAATAAATAAAAATCTTTTTAAAAAAATATTTTATTTATTTTTATTTAGAGAGAGAGAGTGTGCACTTGAGCGGGGGGAGGGGCAGAGGGAGAGGGAGAGAGACTCTCAAGCAGACTCCCTGCTGAGCATGGAGCCCCACACGGGACTCAATCTCAGAACCTTCAGATTATGACTTGAGCAGAAATCAAGAGTCGGACACCTAACTGACTGCCCCACCCAAGCACCCCAGCATCACTAAGATATTTTTTAACCATCATAATTGTTTCTAGCTCCAAAGGAATTCTTGTAAGCTTGGGAGTATCAGTTGGCCAACCTTGCTCATGACAGTAAACTTACCCATAGCTCTGCCCAAACCAGCCTCAATGTTTGTAGATCACAAATCTAGAAGTGGCTATTTTAGTGCAAATTTATCTCCACAGATGGGGTTTGCATACCATAGATCATAAGCAATATTTCTGAGTACAAAGGACAGCAGACAAGACTCTATGGTTCTACCTTCAAAATATATCCACAATCCAGCCACTTATACCATTTCCACTAGCAGCACACTGGCCCAGGCCACCGTTAGCCGCCACCAGAATTACTGCCATGGCCTCCTAACTGGGCTCCCACTTGCACTTCGGCTCTGTGGTGTCTTCTCTCAACACAGGCAGCCTTCTAGAGAAACTTGTTAGGATACAATCAGACTGTGACCCTCCTCTGCTTGAAATATCTGTATCAGTTGGCATTCCATCGGGAAAGCCAGAAACCACTCTTCTGTGCTGTTGCAAAGAGAGGGACTATCTCTTACAGGGCACTGATTACAAAGCTTAGTAACGACAGCAAGCCACCACCCCCTTTAGGCTGGAGGAACAACAGGGAAAAATGGTGTTCCACTGAGCCTGCGATCAGAGCCGCTGAAGGGACTACAGTTGGAACCGAGCTTCCTGAGCCAGCAGTCCCAGCTGCCACAGCTGCCACACGGGAGCGGCTGTCCGGATCCCCATCAGAAAGAAAGGGAAGGCTCGCCCTTCCTCCCGTCTTCCTGCTCTGCCAGTACCACCTGCTGGCAGAACTTAACAGGAAGCCAGCAGGCAAGACTTCTGGGAAGCGGAGTTTGCAGGTCTCCTGCCCCAGCAGTAAGAGCAGGGTATGGAGGGACAGGGTATGCGGTTGACAGAAAACAGACCCCATCCCGAGCAGCACTTCACTCAGTAAAACCCACGTTCTTACAAGGGCTCCGAAGGAAGCACGCCAACACACACGTGCCTTCCTTTCTGACCTCGTTTCCTGACACTTGTCATCTTGTTCACTGAGCTCCAGCCACACTGGTTTCTTTGCTGCTCTCCAAACACGTCAGGCTCTCCTTCCTACGGGCCTAGCACTTGCTGTTTCCTCAGCCTGGAATAATCTTACCCCAGATATTCTCACAACTCCCTCCTCATCTCCTTTAGGCCTTTATTTAAAGGAAACCTTCTCAATGATGCTTCCCTGAAAACTAATTTAAATTTGCAACCCCTCCCAACTCTCTATGCCCCTTATTGTTTTATTTTTCATCAAAGCACTTACCCTTTTCTAACACTCTATACCCCCATACATTATATATATACATACATAATTATGTATTTTACTCCTCTGTTGGGTACTTTTTGGTTGTCTCTAAATATATACTCTATATATACATATATATTAAATATATGTTTTCTGTTCTCAGCATCCCCCCACCAAAATGTAAGCTCTATGGGGGTTAGGATTTTGTCTGTTTGGTCTACTGATATATCCCCAGGGCCCAATAAATACCTGTTGTCTGAATAAACAGATGTAATCATTAGTGTATGTATTTATTATGAGATGAAAAGGATTAAAGTCTCCAAAAAGCATAAAGGAAGGAAAAGAAGCCAACATTGCTTACACTTCTTCCTCTGGGAAGCCCCTTGAACCCCACTCAGGCTACGTGAGATGTCCCTTCTATGTGCTTCAAATGCTCCTTGAAATACCCCTGTCCCAGAACTTGTCACACTATGCTATAATTATCTGTTTGCAGATCTGTCTCCTCCACTGAAACTGTAAGCCCCATGCACTACCCAAGCGATGGTACCCATCTGGGTAACAGTGCACATCAAGCATGCGGGGCTCAAAATATTTATTGTCGAATGTTCCTGTCAAAAAAGAGAAGAATACACTTAGAGGTCTCCTGTTATCATTCCTTCCTCTGGTACTCTGGAAAAACAGAAGAGTCAAAAGCTGTGAGAAAACATACACCAAGTCAGGAAACAGCTAAGTGTAGAAGCAAAGAAAGTTGGTGAGCCATAGTTCTATCATTCTGGCTAAGAGAGAACAGGCAAAATTTATCATGGATTCCAAAAATATTTTAATCTTTTTATTAGAAGTGTTTATATTTCCCGAAAAGCATTCCACTGTTGCATTAACAGCTGAATATTAGAGGATAACAAACAAATCTTGAAAAAAATTAAGTTATGAAAATCAAAATTATCATAGAAAAGCCATGTGTCTCAATAGATAACAGATTTTATAGTGTTAGTCTCAAGGGGTAAAGGGAGTGGGTGTTAGAGCTACAAAAGTTCATTAACAAAAGAATTTAATTTTATAACCAACTTTAAGACAAAAGAATTGCCTTTAGCATGTGTATTCACAGACAGTAGAAAGATAATTCTTAAAAATCTGCCTTGGTTAGTTTTTCTTTTAGAGGTTTCCAATAGGTAACGATAAAATAGCCAATCTTTTTTTGAAGAGATTGTGGCTGTATCTTAGATTTAAAATACATTTATTTATTTGCTAATAATTCAGGGGCTGGAAGAAGTCGTATCACACACACATACTTAAGCACCAAATTTATCATAAATAGCTTTGACTTGGCTTATAACCCCAGTAGTTTACAGGCACGCAGAAATGTCTTATCTCATCTGTTCTTAAGAAGTAGCATTGCTCATTGCCTGCATGAATACTACCCAAGCATATCACACAGGAGAGACTCGGGACTTGGAAAGAAAGGCCTTCTCAGCTTGCCTATCTCCAGCATGAAGCACATACGTGTTGTTTTGTTTTCGGTGGCCTGTGAGTACATTCCGCATCGGGCATCCCTTTCCTCTTCTGCTTAATTAAAAATTCAATTTGAAATGCATTATAAGCTACAGGAATTCAGTTCATCAGAAACCTGCCTTTTTTTTATTCCTTTCTCACTGCATAATTTTGCAAAATAACTCCCAACCAGAAAATGACTTAAACCTGCAGCCTGAAATGTACATGTATTTGCTCACTAGTGCAGGGAAAAAAACTGAGCTAAGTCAAGTAGGATGCATGCACACATTCCTGGAAGGATAATTTTAGAACCCATTTCAAAGCAGACTCTAATTCAAAAATGCCTCTGCCACTTAGAACCAGACGGAGATGCTCCTAGCCTTATGAAATGTCATCAAGTGACTGAGTTCTGCCAGTGGAGGAAGTGGTCACAGCCACTGTGGCTTCCTTGCTGGGAGAGGGAAGAGAAGGAGGGGGCAGTTTATTAGAAATAGCTTCAGGAAGGATGCGATCACAGTGGACGTACAAAGCCACGGGCTATTGATTGCAAATCTGGCAAGGCTGCAGGCCATTCTCATTGCAGGCAGGGCAGCGCAGGGCCCGATAGGACTCCTTAAATCTGTTGGCCAGCATGGAGAACTTGCTGCCGTGGCACAGAGAGCAGGTGGCACTGCCCGACCCTCGGCAGTGAAAGCAGTTGTCCTCGGGAAGCTCCCCTTCCTGCAAGAGACAGGTCAGGATTTAGTGACAGCAGTTCCAGACCACGGTTCCAAAACAGGTTGAAGCAGCACAGGGCTGCCCGAAAGGCAGAGGCAGAGTGAGAGTACAAAATGCTTCCCACAGTGCCAATGGGGGAACTGGCCAGAGGCACAGAATACTCCCTGGAGTTTCATCAGAGGGTTTCCCTGATGGAATCTCTAAGGCAGCAGCTCCTGCCTTGAATTCTGTCCCTTTCCATTCCTCGTCGCCCTTGTCACCACCTGACCCGTGACTTCTGTATGCTCCACCAGGACAAGGGCTTACTCTTCCTCACGGCCACATACTAACAGCGAACCCCTGTAGCATGCTTAGTAGGTGCAGGTGCGGTTCTAAGCCTTCTCTACATTCACCTATCTAACCCACATGACAGCCCGGCGAGACAGTGCACGTTATCATCCCTGCTGCAGACAGGAAAATGAGAGACCGAGAAGTTCAGTTATTTGCCGATGGTCACACAGCTTGGAAGACAGAAGGCAGGTTTTGATCCCAGGCCACTGAGCAGCCGAGTTCCTGCTGCTCGTGACTATGCACACAGCCCCAGCTTGTAGCTGTCCAACATCAGGCATTCAAGAAAGACTGTTTTTGTGTGACTGACAGACTGAGGGGATGGATGACTCGATGTTACAGTCCTCCAAAGCTTAGCTCTGAATTCTTGTACTTTATCTTTCTTTTCTTTGAGAACTGTGGTAAGGCCTGGAACTGCAATCATGCACCTTGGACACTTCCCTTGACCTCTAAATCTTTCATTTTCTTCACCTGCGAAATGGGACTGGTAATGCTCACCATTCAGAGTAGTTGGAATATTAAATGAGAGAGTATGTGAAAAGACCACAATAGATTATCTGCCATATTACAGGTTCTCCATAAAAGTTAGTTCACTTCTAAGCCTTGCTAGTAAGTCTGGACTTACTAGTCCTCGACTCACATCCTGCAGAATATTCTCCCTGTCTACTGCCATGCTCCTTCCCTAAAACATCTCAAGGAAACCAGCAAACTTTGCACTCTGCAAAGACTGTGCACAGACCACAAACATTCCAAGAAATAAGTGGTGGTACTAGATCAATAACAGGTGGATCCAGCACCAAGTCCTGTCTATTTTACCTGCTAAACGTCTCTCAAATCCATCCAGTTTTCTCCGCCCACAACCACAATCCCAGTCCAGATACCCACCAATTCTGGCACGGATTCAGGGCGGAGCCCTTGTGGGCTGTTCTCCCCAACCCAGTCCACTCCTACTGGGTTTCAGACGTCAGCTTAGCAGTGCCTACACCTCTGAACCAGGAGGCCTGACCCACCTGTACTGCCCCAAGCACAGCAGGTCTCATAATCTACTGAAAGCTTCTGCTGACCACATAGGAAGCTATCTGCGCTAGTCCCTGTCACCATCACTTCCAAGACTTAAAGTGCAGTGACTGACACAGTATTTGTCGTGGACATGTTTGCTGGATGAATAAACAAAATGACGATATCTGGAGAACCCTTCCAATTCTTAAATTCTAGAAACTAACAAGAGGACTGGAGTCCACTTCCACCCAGCTCACACAGCTTTCTTTTATAATTTAAGAATAAAAATAATCTTGAAAAGGGAGGCATAAGTTCTGAAAGTAGTTCCATTGTGCTACAAAGTGCCTAAGAAGGCATTAAATTTTATTTATTCTAGATTTAAGGAACAGAAGTGATTACCCAACTGACAAAAACCTAAATGATGTCTATGTGTCCTTTTGTTAATATTTTATTGATTGCTGCCATATTTTAATATATTAACAATGGAGAAACTTGTTTTCTTCCCTTAAAGTGTTCAAAAGAAATGTATTTGCCAAAATACTCTTTAAGCAAATTGTCACAGTCCGTTTTTTCTGCCAAATCCACATGTTCTTATTTTGTACTGAATCCCAGTGAGATTTTGTCTCTCTCTCTCTGTCAAATAAATAAATAAAATATTTAAAAAAGATTTTAATGTTGCCAAAGGAAGTAATGCATACATGTCACCCAAAACTTAATTTGCATAGAATGCCAGGCTCAGATATTAAAAGAAAGAAATAAAAGGCATCCGAATCGGCAAAGAAGAAGTCAAACTCTCACTCTTTGCAGATGATATACTTTATGTGGAAAACCCTAAGACTCTACCCCAAAACTGCTAGAACTCATACAGGAATTCAGTAAAGAGGCAGGATATAAAATCAATGCACAGAAATCAGTGGCATTCCTACACACCAACAAGACACGAAGAAAGAGAAATTAAGGTGTCGATCCCATTTACATTTGCACCCAAAACCATAAGATACCTAGGAATAAATCTTTTCTTTTTTTTAAATTTTTTTAAAAGATTTTATTTATTTATTTGACAGAGAGAGAGATAGTGAGAGAGGGAACACAAGCAGGGGGAATGGGAGAGGGAGGCAGGCTTCCTACGGAGCAGGGAGTCCAATGCGGGGCTCGATCCCAGGACCCTGGGACCATGACCTGAGCCGAAGGTAGATGCTTAACGACTGAGCCACCCAGGCGCCCCATACCTAGGAATAAATCTAACCAAAGAGGCAAAGGA